AGGTTACGGTTAGTTAGTAGTACGTAGTAAGTAAGTAAGTAAGTAAGTAAGTAAGGAAGGAGGAGGTAGGTAGGTAGGTAGGTAGTAGTAGTAGTGNGTTGTTTTTTTATGCTGCTTGAAAGAGAAATAAAATGAGGGTCTACCGTGAAATAAGATGGGGAATTAGGGGTCTGTACGAAATTTTCCCTAATATTATTGTCTCCAAAGGTCTCAAATATTAGAATGGTTATTTTATGTAGCATCTACACATGGCACTCCTTATCTCTTTCTAGAGACCATTTATGAACATGTTCAGGGTCCTTTTTCTCATGATTTTGGTTGATGGTGGTTCTGGTAAACTTATTCATTAACACCAGTTTTTCATATTTCTAATAGGGAAGGTCACGCTTTTCATTTATGGGTGGTAAGGGTGGATCACTTTGGAAGAGAATTGCTTTTCGGCTCTCAGACCAAAGGTCTGTATCTTTCAAAGGAGAACAATAAGAGAATATATTGTTTCAACTCAAAACTTTTGACCTTCAAAGTTTTCTTATAGTATCATAGATTATGCTGCCTCTCATTTGCATTTGTCCTCATTTTATTAATCGACTTGAAAATTATGGAATTACTTGACTTGAGTATTCCTTGGTACAAGTGCTCAAGGTGGTGGATCCATGTTGATTGATGATGGTCAAGGTTCTGTTCGAAGCATGTCTCTAAAAGATGGTTTCCTTAATTTTTTGGACCAGGTAACTTCTGTTATGCGAAATTGCTAAGTTCTTTCCGTGCTAAGAAAACCTCCTTTTGGAATATTTCCTTGATAAATGTGAAAGCATTCTGCAATGTGGCTAACAGGTCCATTCCTGCATCCATCCATAATTATGCAAAGAAAATATATTTAAATATGTACATGCGGGACGCATGTACAGGTACACACATGTATATCTAATCTTTTATTTATATGTGTTAGTAAAGGAATAATGATTAAAGTCAAAACTCAATGAGGACATTAAGGAACGTAAAATGAAAATCATATCTGGATATGCTTATAAAACACTGTAGTTAATCAATTAGACACCTAGTTTGTTTCTGTTGCCTCTAGATCAATAGTAAATCAGCCTTATAAAATGATTAAAGTCCTGCTCCACATTCCCAAACCGAGGGATGCCTCTTTAACCCTGAATTCTTAAATCGCTTTTGGAGTATTCAATGGATACTCAATATATGATGAGACAGTGACTCAATCTTCAACTCCACGAGGTTCACATAACGTAAAACAGTCATAAAATTGTGTTTCTGTGAATTTATAGATGTATGTCTGCAAAAAACTACATATTTTAAGTTATATCTATGTTAAAAAATTACAAGGCTCGAATAAGGTAGTGGGGACCAGTACTGTAACTCCATCCCTGAAAGGCCAAAACATTCAGTTGCCACATCTGAAATTAACTTTGGCTGCTGTGGATTCTTATGGAGCTAGAGTGCCTCGTGATTCTTAGAACAAGTGATATCATTTGCTTTATCCTGAATTTGGAAAGGTTATGCGCCTCCTCATAATTTAAGTTTGTATGGTTATTTTGCTCAACTATATAGAGCCTTCTAGGCAGTCTATGAATAGTTGCCTGACCTTATTTTAATTCTACACCGGTTTTGAACTGATGCAATGTTTTAGAAGTTGAGGTCATGGTGTTATTCTGCATCATGGCTTTATGTTAGTTGTCTTTGGAGACAGAATGATGTGGACATTGCTTCATTTAGTTTGGCATTTATATCATCATCATCGTCATCATCATTATTATCATTATTAGTGAAATGTACATACCTTTTTTCCCAATTCTACAAGTTTCTCCACATAAAGCCCCCATTTGAAAAATTGTTGTTTTGTTGTTATCCACCCCTCTAGTCAACCTTCAATGGCATTTAAGACCAAACTGTCCCTCTTCAGTCAGCCAATTAAATGATACAAAATTTAGCTCCTCTCTCTTCCTGGGCTTCTTTTTTTTTTCTGGATGCAGCAAACAAGTTAGCAGAGAAGTTGAAGCTAATTCTAGTAAATTCCTAAATCCAAATGGTTGCCACCCAAATGTGGTCATTTTTTTGGTTGGCCGGCCATGGTTAAGGGTTCGCTTGAGAAACAGGGGAACACAAGGAATTCTCAGCAAGTTATGGGTTTTCCAGCCAACTCTGCTAACCTGGACTTTCCATGTATAGTCCAGAGCATTTTTTGGTCCTGAAATTTTGGGTTTCTCCCTTTGAAACTGGGTCTCTCTCTCTCTCTTCATTGTGCTTTTGGGTTTGTATGTTGCAGCATAGTCGTGCGAACCTTGGGGATAAGGCCACGCTCCCACCTTAGGAACTCAATCCCATGGTTCCTGTAGGGGATATTAGAGGAAGCTTGGTTTAGAGAAATAGGGATCTCGCTTCCTATTAAATGGGGGTCTACATGCTGTAGGACCCCTCCAAGGAGAGGAGCTATACTATTAATTAAGCTATTGTTCCTCCTTTGGTATTATAGATTTATTTCTTTAGAATTGATTAAATTGTGGTGTGGCTTTCTTTGCTCATTGCCACCTCTGCCATAGTCACGAGAAGATGTGTAGCCATCAAAGCACTTGCGACTATGGCAGAGGTTGCTCGTTGCTAGAGTGCTTTAAGGAACAAGAAAACCAATAATCTCTTTCTTGTCCTTCAACTTAAGGGGCATATTACACTGTGGTATACCAGTATTATGGTATTAGAAAACTACAGTTTAATATTGCTACACATGCTATTGATATTGTTTAGTCATACTGGATTACTGTTCTTTAATCTTTTGACAAAATTTACAACATCTACTGTTGCTTCCATGTTGTTTATGCAGGAACTTCAATCTTTGCTCTGTGAGAAAGATGATTACAGAGGACTGCCTTTTGATTTTTGTGGAGGTTATGTAGGTTTTATTGGGTATTCCACTTTTCAACCTTCATTTGCTTCTGTTCTGTATTTTTTTACTATAATTGACAAAAATGTCACATATAATGGACATGTTATGGAGTTAACTCTTGCTATTAGATAGCATGATTTTGAGCCCATTCATCATTTTTTAACGGTTGGAGAACTTATAGAACAAATTTTTGTAATTTCTCTGAATACCATCAGTGTGTATCAAATTAATTTCAGTGGCTTTGCAAATATTTACCTTCTTGCTCACTTACCTCAAAAACTTGGTTTAATGAAGGAATAAATGTATCTGACTTTCATATCTTATAAATGCATGTTTTGCTTTTTGAAGTGCTTTTCCAATCTTCCACGTGCGCATAGTTGGAAATACCTGATAAAATTTCTGACTTCCAATCTTTGGATGCCTTATAAAACAAAAATAACCGATATATAGCTTCCAAATCTCACAAGGATCAGAAAAATTTTCTTCTTTTGGTGTTCCATATTTGATTGTGTTTTTCCATTTTTTTTAATGTGATTTAGTTGATTATCACTTTTGACTCCTCAACAGGTATGACATGAAGGTTGAATGTGGTACGGCATATAACCATCACAAGTCCAAAATTCCAGATGCATGTTTCTTCTTTGCTGATCAGCTTGTTGTGATTGATCATAGTAACAATGATGTCTACATTCTCTCTCTACAAAATAATCATCCTGCAGAGTATAGTAATGGTGGGTTGCCTAAAAGTCACTTCCCAAGCACATGGTTGAATCAAACCGAGTTGAAGCTATTAAGCTTGAAATCAAGAGCTACTAAAACGCATATGAGAGAGCAAAATCGTGTTATTCCACATGCTGCTTCTAAGGATGCTTTTGTCATTGAGAAATCCAGAAAGCAGTACATAAACGATGTTGAGAAATGTCTAAATTATATCAATGATGGTGAGAGCTACGAACTGTGTTTGACAACTCGGATGCGAAAGAAAATTGAGAATATGGATCCCCTTGGACTCTACCTTAATTTAAGGGAACGCAATCCTGCACCATACGCTGCTTGGCTTCATTTTGCCAATGAGGACATTTGTATCTGCTGCTCATCTCCTGAAAGATTCTTGCGTTTGGACCAGAATGGCCTATTGGAAGCAAAACCAATTAAGGGCACCATTGCTCGTGGTGCAACACCAGAAGAAGATCGGCGGCTTCTATTGCAACTTCAGTATAGGTCAGAATCTAACTTTAACTTATTTGCTTTGTCATCTCAGTTTCTTTTTGTTGAAATTAAGGTGGTGTATCACTGGTCAAGGCAAAAGCAAGTTGAAGTTGATGGGAAATTATCTTCTGATTTCTTTCAACTTCCCAGGGATCAACGCAAAAGCAAGTTGAAGTTGATGGGAAATTATCTTCTGATTTCTTTCAACTTCCCAAGATCGCCTGAGTTTGGCAACTTGCTGAAAATCTGGTCAAATTTTATAAGCCATCCCTACTCACTAAAATTTGAATAAATATTCTGTAAATAAGGGGCCTTTTCTACACAATACCAGGAATGCTGTTGCCTGTGGCATTTAATTTTTGTGTAAAAATGGTATATGTTATTCTTGAAATTGAGAGGGTCTCTTTGTTTAGCAGCAGTTTGGCTATTATTTTAATTACCGGAAAGCTGTTCTACCCAGAAATGGAGAGGAACATGGACGTATGCACGTGGCAGTTGGCAATGTCTAAAGAAATAAGACATTGGGACAGGTCATTTTTGATAAATAAACATGTAACATATCAAAATACTTGTAATACTACTGAGAAACTTGGGAGGGTTCAACTGGAGTTCTTGTGGAAAATTCTCTCTTTTAATGTTTATTTATGTATTATCTCGTTTGCTTGTTATTTCTCATATTTTTGGCTGGCATTGCAACTAATCTCTTTTAGTTTTTGTGTTTGCGTGTGGGTGATCCCTTTGGAATGAATGTATACTGGTAGTGAGAAGGACCAAGCTGAAAATCTAATGATTGTAGACCTCTTAAGGAATGATCTAGGCCGTGTTTGTGATCCTGGTTCTGTTCATGTACCTAGTCTAATGAAGATGGAGTCGTATGCAGCTGTTCATACTCTGGTGAGCACGATTAGGGGTAAAAAAAGAGAGAATCTGACTCCCATTGAGTGTGTTAAAGCCGCTTTTCCTGGAGGTTCCATGACAGGTGCTCCAAAACTTCGTTCAATGGAGATTCTTGATTCAGTAGAGGAAAGTTCAAGGGGGATATACTCGGGGACAATTGGGTTCTTTTCTTGCAATCAGACTTTTGATCTGAACATTGTGATCAGAACACTTGTCATCCATGGGAACGAGATTTCGCTAGGAGCTGGTGGTGCTATAGTAGCCTTGTCAAATCCAGAAGATGAGTACAATGAGATGATCTTGAAAGCAAAAGCCCCTACAGCTACTGTAATTGAGTGCCAGGAAAATTCCAATCCTTGCTCCAGCATTTCTAAGAAGGATATGTGATTGTGAGTGTTCTATATTTACTTAACTGTGCTTTAATTCTTTTGGGACTGTCATTTCCTTGTTATTTGGAAATTTCTTCTGCTATTTTACTTGGGGAGATGGACACCAACACAAACAATGCTTATCCTATGGTACCTTGTGAATATCATTTTTTTTCAGTCTACATATTTTAGTATCAAATGTAATAGTTGTTCGGCAATTAAAATTCCTGCATGTGTACATTTAGGTTCAGTGTTTACACCCATGATATCTATGTCCATATCTCGTGGATTTAAAAGAATGTGGCGTAATGCTTGGTGACATCATTTTAAGTACCCTTCACAATTCTTTTTTTTCGGATGTCAACAATTTTCATGTATCAGCCTGGCTGCAACCAAGAGATGCACCGAAAATTTTAATATAGAATCAAGTATGTAAAAATTAACTACTTCATCCTCCCACTGTAACCTGTTATCGAGTTCAAAACTTCTATTTTCACAATTCATGCATGTTAAACAAATGAAATCTCCGTTGTACTGTGATGCTCATAAGTTACCAAGATTGTGTCTGTGCATGCTGGCTTATTCATGAAACAGGTAATATCATTGCTGTAGGATGTGGTAGAACTTTCGAGAGCTCAAGCCACATGCAATGTTCATCTGCAGCAGATAACTTCAGGTCATAGTAATGATGATGCTTTATTTTCTTGGTGCATTAACATGGTTGTTATGGGATTGATAGAGAGATGCAAGCTTTCTTGTGAGATATTCTTGCAGAATAGCAACTTCATGAGCTGGTGGAAGGATTTTGGAAGTGGGTTACATGAAAAAACAGGACTACAAAAAGTACATTTGAAGAATGCATGCATGTAAAACGATAACATGGGTTATCCATATATAAGAGAGACTTTTGTAACTCCTCTGATAAGAGGTGTCATAGAAAATCAAATGGGGGTGTTTAGGGCAGTGATTTCATGCAACAGTTGAATCATAGTATGATGCAACCACACTTATAGAAAACCATGTTTTGTAGTATTTGTGTGATCCAAAATTTTGTACACAATTTTTTCGTCTCAATAATCAATTCCTCCCCCCCTTCCCCTCACAAAAAAAAAAAAGTTCAATTTGAACTCTAGATGTGGTCAAAATGAGTCCTTTCCAACAATGAATCTAGATCATTTATTTGGTGATTTTAAAATTCATAGTCTTTACATACTCCATCAAAATGGATGGCCTATGAAAAATTATTTTCTAGGTTCTGTTTTTTGTTCTTTTTTTTTTCGTGATTGTTCATTAAAATGAAAAGAATGTATATTTCAAAATTTGGATAAAACAAATAACCTTTACATGATTTTTGAAGGTCATTGCATTGTATTACTATGCAACTGTTGTATAAAATCATTCCCCGGGTGTTTAATATATCATCTAAGAGGTGGTAAAAACCAACCTCCTTATAAAAGTTAACAGCAAAAGATGGTGGATCTAAGGTCCATCCAAATAAAATTGGACCATGAAAATATTTAACAAATTGTTGTTTTAAAACATTTTAAGTGAAACATTTTAAGGGAAGCTATAAGTTATCAATCAATGAATATTGGAGAGTCAAAGGTGATATGGGGAGTCAAGATGATATGAAGGGTCCAAAAAATAGTTATTTAAATTTAAAAGTTATAGACCTATCATCCTCTTATAAGATATAATGTTATTTTATGACACATCACTTAATGTTTATATTTACTTTTACTTTATTAATCTATAATTTATTTATTAAGATTTATTTATTTATTAAGATATAATGTTGTTGTTGTTGTTGTTGTTGAAAAGTGAGCTGATTATTGAAGGATTGAGTTCTAATGGCATCATCTCAAAAATCCATCTGAAAAATAAAAAGATTTTAAGTCGCAGAAATAGTGCATTTTACAACATATTATCTACACCTTCCATTTTCAAGATTTTTATATGTTTATAGATCTATTTAATTTTAACCATTTTTTAAATTTAAAATTTTATAATTAGATATAAAAATAGATTTTGAGATAATCTTGAGAACATTTTACATCAAAATTATATACCATGATAAAATTTGAAATGTACCTTACCTCTACACCTATGGAGGCGTCTGTATGCAAACTGCACCTTTATTATAGCTTGTCTCATGATAATAAGTAATTACATAGTTTAATTTGATTTTTCTATTGAGGGTATAGCTTTTGATGGAGCAAAATAGAGGATTAGGATCGTGTAGTTGACCCCAAATAATTGGAAAAAAGCTTTGATGATGATGATGATTTTTTTTCTATTCTTATTTTAGCTATAATAAAAATTAAGTTGTGACTTGATGGACTCATTTAAATTAATTAAATGAAATGAAATATTGTAAAAGATGTCGTTCTTTTAATGTTTAAGAACTACCTTCATATTATTTTATAGCTTCATTTTTATGGCGCATCTCAAAAACCCACCCTCCAATTGATATCTTGGCACTAAGATGTATGGATATGAAATGAAGAGAATTTGATTTCAAGTCACTATCTTGTAACACAGTTTGGACTGTACATTTTCAAAAGTTTCAATTATTAGTAAATCTACTTATCTACACCGGGCTTCAAATTTTATAATTGGTGATAAGAATACATTTGTAGGCCATGAAAAGAGTTTCTGGCACCAGGACCATCGGCGCGTGCAATTTATGGGAGAGGAAGGGCCTCTCCCCATTTATTACAGTAGAATTTCCATCATTTTTTTGATGGATGGGCGGCCTTCCAAAAAAGGGTTTTTTACAGTATTAAAGAAAAGAAAAAAAAAGAGGCATCTAGAAGGGTGTGAAATGCCACCCTTCCAAAATCTCCTTGCTATCAAATGTGGGAGTGGGATGTTCCACTCCTGCTTCCAAAATCTCCCTGTCATCAAACATGCCCTACCTCTTCTGGCTGCGTATGGAGGTGCACCTTAACTAAGGTTGGGGCTATATGAACCGCACCCTTTTGTAACTCATCTAGAAGGTATATATGATGTCAAAAAAATGGCAGTTTTTATTTGGGGTTCACTCTGTTTTGGCAACTTTATATCTTTGGCTTATGTAATCAAGGCAAGCAAATGAGGAGGTAGTGTTAGCAATATGGCCCTTTTATCTCTAGAATTTATTTTTCAATAATGATATAAAAGCCATATTGAATAGTATATGTGAAATTTCATGTGGTTAACATGAGGCAATGTCATATATTAGAGATGTGTTTTGGAGCTTTATAGGATGTCGTACTGGAGGGAAAACCCAATGTCACTGGAGGGAAAACTCAATGATGTGTTTGGATTCATTGTAAGATTTTTTTTATATATTATAGATGTACAAATTATTTAATTTCTAAATTATCTTTTTTTTTTATCAAGTTGTAGGAATGCTTGGATGACATCCTATTATGAGTGTCATTAGTGCACTAATGACAAGTTTAGCTCATTGCATAGGATTAACAATTAGATGACAACTTGTTAATCCTAATTAGCTGCACTTAAAGAAATTAAGGCACTTGTTAATCCTAATTGGTTGCACTTAAAGAGTTATATTTGGATCTCATCTCCTATAGACCATGAATGTGAGAGTTATAGATTTGGTTCTCTATAAAAAGAGGTTAACCCCTCGAGTAAAAAAAAAGAGAGAGTGATGAAAAATTGGTGAAGGAGATTCACCAAGAGGACTCTCAAGGTAGCCTGTTACCGGATGGCTTGGTCTATAAGTTTTGGTATGGAATCTTAAGTCCCTCGTGTGATTTAAGGAAAGATCCGAGTAAGTTGTTTATCGATTTTATTTTATTTATTTATTATTATTATTTTTAATTGGACTAACAGATAGAGTCCTAAATGTTAATCAGCAACTGTTAGGAATCTGATTTCTTCACAGTAGCTTTGAGTCCCCTTAATTGAGTCACTCTAAATGAGGAGAACCAATTTTTTTCTGTCACCATTCTTTATACTTGTGTTTATTGTTTTACATTGATTTGTCTCATATATGCTGTAAGGGTTCATGGCAGATGATATAGCATGAAGATACTAGAAATCTTTATGGAAATCCCGATTTTGCGTCTTATGCATTTGATAAGAACAACGAAAATACACTTTTAGTGCTCATCTTCAATCTCTCGTGACTGGAGAAAAGGGATTCCAAACTCTACAAGAGGTTCCTGTTGAAGCTTTTTGTTTTTTGGACCCTCGATTTCAAGTTTTACACCACATTCAAGGTAGGTCATCACAATGTTTTTTTACGTTTTGGTTTTAAATCTCGATTTGTCGGACAGAAAACAATATACCTGTGAAATGAGTAGAGCGAAAATAATGTTGTTGAGATGGATGTGTGGCAAGATAAAAATGGATAGAATTCAAAATGAATCCATTCGAAAAAATTTGGGTATGGCACCAATAAAGGATAAGCTGTGAGAGAATAGACTAAGGTGGGCTGGCCATGTGTAATGCCAACCAAGTACTACACTTATGAGGATGTAGTTCAAGTGAAACGACTGAAAATGACAAAAGGTAAGACAAAAAGATGTGGTTGGATATAGTTCAAAAACATATAAGAACTTATAACCTTACTGAATATATGACCTTCAATAAAATAGAATGATGGATCAATATTTGTGTAGCCCAAGGGGGAGGCCTATTGTCCGCCCAACCTTGGCCTACTTAGTGTGCCCTTTTTATTTTATTTTCCTTTTGGCCCTCCATTATTGGGGTTGGCAAGGGCTTGGCTGGCCCAGCCTAGCCTAGCCTAGCCTGGGTCCCATCCATCTTTGGACCAGGCCAAAGGGGCTTGGGCGCATGGTAGGTTAGTCTTGGTCTAGTCTAATGGTTTTCTCTCTTAAATAAGCATGAAAAAAATAGGGCCATGCCTCAAACCCGGCCTGGCCTAGTCCGCGAACCTAATTTTGTCTCTTGCTAGGTTCAGGCCTAAAAAATCCTACACAAATTTATCCCAATTATCCGTGTACAATAAAGCTCAAATGAGATGAGGAAGTGTCCAAACCTTTTAAGGCAAATCATTCGCCCTCGCCCAAGACGATTCACACCAACTTAGGCAATTAATTCGCCCAAACGATTCACCCCAACTTTAACGAATTGTACATTCGTATTTATTAGGGCTGGCAAGGATTTTGTGACTACTACCTCTCGTGGTGTATTTCTTTAAATTTATATTTGACACTTAGCCTTACTTTTTGGGTGTTACAAACTTCTTTTTGTAATAGAGTTTGCCGCAATGAAGACATAAGGGTATCGAGTTGCAACTCTCAAAATGATTCTTCTACTCCAATGGGTACTTAGTACGTATTTTTTTCACTTTGGGTTGTAATTGAGGTCGCGACATTGAAAACATAAGGGTGTCAAGTAGCAACTCTCGAATGATTCTTCTACTCCGATGGGTTAGAAGACCTACTTCGTAGTAGATAATTTTTTCATTTAGGGCCAGTTTGGATGTACCCAAAATTACAATATTTTCAAATGATAAGAAAAAAAAAAGATTAAGATAGAAAGTAAGAACTGTTTGGATAACCTCATAAAAATTTCTTATTCATCCAAAAAGATATCACTTTACCCCGGAACCACAAGCCAAAAATATGCAAGTCGGACTCCAATCTTTTTGGCTTGAGCCGTGTTTCTCTTATAACTTTATCCTCTTGGGCCTCTCTTAAAACTTTATCCTCTCTCGCCTCTCTCTCTCTAATGTTCTCGCTTGTCTCTCTTCTCCCTACTTTCCCTCGTCTCCTCAAGGCTTTACCCTCTTTCTCCTCCTTGCTCCATGTCTCTCTCTCTAACCTGTTTCTATTAAAGTTTAGTAGCCTTTTTCTCTCTCGAAATAGCAGTTCAAGTCCTCCCATCGTCTCTTAAAGACAACCAAAAATCTCAAAAGACTCAATGTGGAACTTATTTTAC